AAACTGTCTAATTGTGTGTTGTCACATGACAACACACAATTAGACAGTTTAAAAATTAAATAAGTTTGACAAAATGTAAAGAATGATATAAAAGATGATGTACATGTAGCATGATTGCACTGTAAATAGACTTGCTCAAAAACATAGGAATCAGGGAATTCAAAGTTCAACATCCTACTGAAACTCTAGTTAAATGGCAACGCCAATGTAATAGGCCATGTTTGGTACGCCCTTCTCAAATGAAAAGAAAGTCTCAACTAATTTAAAACAGCAATCAATCTTTTCCTTCAAACAGTACCGCAGAGCTAACGGGACGAAAAAACCTCCATATGCCGTCTTACTAGTTGCTACTACCTTAAATATCTAACTTGGACCTCTAAGAACTAAGTTGCTGATGCAAGTCATTCACATTTAATGGTCACAACTAAACATTCACAAAAGTTAGAACATTGTGCCAGTGTTGGTTTTTGGCCATCATTCACCTACCCAGTTGCTCGAAGAAGTTTTTAGTAAACCTTGATATTCAACAGTATCACTGCTCAAAAGGGACACGGATGAGGAGGCGCCCATGCAACATAACCACAGCAGAAGTATGAACGTGATCAATTTTTGCAGGGAAGCTCACCACCTGAAAACCACCAACTGATTCCGTTAATTCTAATCCTTAAACTGTTCAAAATATGATAAAATTTGAGTACTGGCACTAATATGCAACTGACTCAGCCATCGAATTGGGTTTGCTTTTAAATTTTACCGTGTGGCACTCAACAAACACTATTTAGATGGTGGGAAGTAACATAAGATGAAAATACAACGTGCTTAGCTGATGTAAAGAAAAAAAATGGGTAAGAGAACACACAATAGGCTTCATTTTATTCAACCTTTCATCTGGAGCCCAAACTGGCGGCAACTGAAATTTTCTTTTCCATTTTGCCACGCAAAGGAAAAACTCAACCTTGGATAAAAATTTGCCCCTTTTCTACCATTATTTCAAAACTCTTTTTTCTCAAAATAAAATATTTTGCATGTAAATCAAAAAAAGTTTCCTATTCTTTAACCACACATTCTCCAAAAATTCATTATTCCAGAATTCATTCTCATTGAATTCATTTTCCTAGTATGTGAACAAAATGCGAAAAAATCTTAACAACTTACATATGGTTACTTAATTCACAGTCACAAGGCACGACACAGCCTGTGATGCTATGGTGCAAACATTATATAATTGTCATAAACTTCCTGCTCAAACTTACAAAAACACTTACCTTTTTAAATGCTGTGATACCCCACGGATTTTCGGGTTGCTCTGGCTCACCTGTTATGACTAAACGTCCAGCAGGATCTGATTGAACACGCACCTATGTTCACCGATAAGGCATAAATATCATCTTGTAATTTTAATTCACTATCTCATAATGGGCTTATGAGAAAAATGCATCTTATACAAGATCTTGGTGGTTAACATTGGAAAAGAAATAGATGCACAACATCGCTAGAAGTAGATTCCATATTCGTAGACCAAAAGTTATGTGTCCTCCACACAAAATATAAAAAGTGGATGCAAAAGCAACATGGATGGGAACAATATTCGCTAAACCATAGCAAGTGATATTGATAACAAAAACCAAAAGAAAAATGATTAGCACTACAAATTATGAGAAGAATAGAGATAAGAGAAGTGTGAAAAGCTCCATTATGACTATCATCAACTCATCATACCTGCAAATACTGAGAAGTACACCAGACGACTCTACATCAATATAATGGGGACTCTAAATGAAAATCTTTAATAAAGAAAACCAAGAGATAGTATGAATCCTTCTACTGTCAGTGCCCTCTAAGAAACATCACTATTGGATTGATTGGATGCTCACTAGATTCAAATATAGCATTTTCAAATACACAATATACTGGAACATACACCTCGCAGCAGGGAAAACAACTGATGAAAGGGCAACCATGAACAATTAATCTGAAAGTTATCCATATTGTTCTGAAAATTGACAGCTAATCAATCATACAATAGCCAGGAAATAAACTTAAGCTTGCAAATCACAATAACATTTAGATTTTTAATTTTTTTAAACCTAGCCTCTGTTTAGCAGAAATTAAAATCATGAAAAAGGGAACTCTAAGACAGCAGTACACACCTCTTCGCGCAAAAGCCCAGGTATTAGGGCATAAACCTCGAAACAATCTTTCTGCACATAAAGAATGAGTCGAAGTCAAAACTTATCCTTGTGCATGCAAGCGTAATGTGTTTATATACAAAGAGAGAGGGGGAGGGGGTTTGATTTCAATGCTTTTAAAAGGAACTTACAGTTTGTTGCACATTGATCTTCACCCAATCAGCCGGGGGACCAACATCAACTACCGATGCAACCATTCTGGCAAACAAAGAGCAATTTAGTCAGCACCAGTTGCCACAGAATAATATTAGGAGCCTTAACCATTACAGAACAGTAACTATCTTCCAGCTTGGCTCAAAATTGAAGGATCAGGCTAGTTAAATTTGGCACAGTTAATCCAGAGCTTTTCCAGAAATTATTTGGAAAACAGAAACAAGGTGTGTCATATATAAAAGTCTCAAATCACCTAATATACTAAGATATAGTTTAAAAGGTCAATTGACAAGTTAAAGCTGCAGCAACCATCAAAGGTATTATTTTTAAATACTAGCATTTTTCTGTGGCTAAAGAATACAAAGGTGCTACCTCATACATATGTACCCAATTATCGTGCAAAATAATGCATAAATCTCTGATACATTTAGAATCATTTAGGGCTTCCTCATTTAGCATTCATTTTGACCACACATCTAAACAAGCTCTGTTTGAAACTGGTAAAAGAAGATTTACCTACCAAGTGTATCGCATTTTCAAATTCAAAATTATTCCGTTGTTAAATATGCCATAATTCATCCAGAGGGAGCCAAGTAGCCAGCATATTATAAGATTGGTTTACTTGCAGGGATACAGCCATCGTTGTTATTATTATATGAGGAAAAACAAGGTTAAGCATACAGTCATATCACCTCATACCAAGTTCTACTTGAATACATCAATTTGACAAGTTAAAGATGCAGCAACCATTGAAGGAATTATCTTAAAAACAATAGTTTGTTTCTGTTGCTAGGAAAGACAGGTCTGACCAAAAAAGCACGAACACGGACACAACATGATACAGACATGGTCATGTCTTTGAACTTATAAATTTTATATTGTGACTTTGTTTTATACTTTTTAATATAAGACATGGCACAAACCATGTTGAACACTTGCCCGAGGAATGTCTCTGACGTATCCCTCAAGCATTAATAATTTTAAAAATATATAAAAATAGGACACAAAACGTGCTTGTCTGATGCATGTCATGGAGTGTCTAAGGAGCGTTGTCGTCCAACACAACTTGATAAGAGTCGAGGACGGACACGCTACCCTAATAGGAATATCCGTGCTTCATAGACTTCGTACGTCTGTGTACCCCAATAATCGTTCAAAAGAATGATTAAACGTCCGAGACAGAAAAACATAATCCTCATTTTTATTCATTTTGACTGCTCGGCTAAACAAGCATATCCTTTTAAAGTGAGTAACATGCCAAGCGAAGTTCATTCTCACCTTCAACATTATTCCAAAGCTCAAATAAACCATAAATCATCCAAACTGAATTACCATGTATAAGAAAATTATAATCTCAGTTTGCTTTATGGGGCTACTTGCATCGTTATTTCTATATTTACGATGTAAGCACAGAAAATAGACTTCAATGACAAATGCCAAAAAAAAAAAATCTGCCTTACGGATGTATTTCTTTGTAAAACATGCCTGCAAGGGAATTGACAGCATTCTTACGAGGAACAAACTGAAAAAGACATGATAACAGAACCCAAGAAGAGACTAAATGATGCAAGTGGTGATCTCCAATTTCAATTCTCAGTCAAAAGTAAACATAGTGTACTATACAAATAGGTCAGCCTACTTTTGGCAGAAACAAATCAAAAGATGAGTAATCATGGTAAGCCAAGACTTAACTGCTTAGATGTCTCAGTTCGTGCTGCTTTCACTGAATGCTCCTCTTCACTTGGTCTCTTCTGCTTTAGGGAGCCTAAATTCACAATAAGTACACAAAACAATGAAGCTTTTCATTTATCCATTAAAAAAAAAAACATATCAATGAAACATATGATAAGCAGCTATGAGATCTTGCTCTTGTATCTGACTTCCGGGGTGAAATGGCTAATATCATTCCATATTCTACCATTTCAAAGATGTTAAAAAAGGAACCTTATTTCAGACTGAAGCAAGCTTACCAATGCTTTTGAGATTTTTCTCACGCTTAGCTCCATTGTTGAGATTCTTTTCCTGTTAAAATAAAGTAAATAATTACTCGGACACTCCTTATGAGGGCAAATATACAACCCATGAGATAACCTAAAGATGTTAATTTCCAGACCTTGACAATTGGCTCACCAACCTCGACATGACCAGAAAGACGTTGCGCATGCCAACCCTGCATAGCACGAGAAGCAGCATCCCTCCGAGCCCTGCCTGATCCAGATCCTTGATATCCATTTCCCTGTGTAATTCATCTAGAACATTCTAATCATATTGCATATTATATACTGTTGAAAGTTTGTTATCTTAAGATCTTTATTTCATATTTATGATAGTCCTTAATAGATTGTAATTAATCACCTATTACTTAGGTCAGTGACATGTTCTACATATCTAGGAGCCGCATCTTTTTCATCTAAAATTTAGGATATGGGATACGGCTAAAAAAGGATCCAAAATTTATAAACAGGTACGAGAATATGTCTTATAAACATAATATTTTTGGAATAAATTATATACTAATAATTTAGACGCATTTTTAGAGACGTGTATTGCATGATTTATTAAAATAATACATAATTAAATATTTATTATAGTTATTTTTTTCTCTGTTGTCTTTCGAAAATATAAATGTCAAACGCACAGGTCATCTAATTAGTTGGATCAATTTCTTTGATTAAATCTACTGGATCCAAATACATAAATTGGAATGGGTCATCTAATTAATTGGCTCACAACCTACTTCAGCAGATTTATATTTCACATTCTATTTTCATCAATTTCCAGAAGCTTCAATCTGCCTCTCCCTCTTCCCTATTCACTGCCTTTTCCATTTCCTTAAAGATTTCTTTCTCCTAAACTATCACAAAGTTTGACCCCAGGCTCTAAAATGTACTTTTTTAGGGTTATTAGCCCACATAAAAGAAGTTCAAATGTTATCATCCCCCTACAATTTGTCACTATCAATGTCGTTCTTTGAGAATCTCATTTTTCTCAGAAGGAGATTTTGAGAAAATACATAATGAAAATCAGCTCCTCCCATAATCTACAGGATCTTTTTAACACTGAAACTGATCTGCCTCAGTCGAATTGATGCCATTGGTGCATCTCAACCATGACAAGGACATTAATCATGTAATGGACAGCAAATGAACTACATCTGCAGCATGTTTCATTAAAGGAAGATCAAGAAAAAAATCAGATGCTAACTTGGTAAATGGTACGGCTCCTCAGTAGGTTTCTAGTCCTCTTGTATGCTCTCAAAGAAAGATAAATTGAGTCCTTGAAACTCTCCAACTCCGGTAAAAGGTAACTCTAAATACCTATCACCAATTAAATCCTTGAGTCAAAATAACCTCGATGTTCCCATTTCTTTAAGAAAAGGAGTTAGGAACTGTACCAAACATCCCATCACTAAGTTTGTTTCTTATTGTTGTCTTACTTCTTTGTATAAGGCCTTCATTTCAAGTTTATCTTCCGAGCATGTCCAAAAGGACCCAAATGATGAGGCTCTAAAAGATCATAGTGTATGGATGCTGTCATGGAAGAATTAAGAGCACGGGAAAAAATAAAACCTAGGAGATGATTGAGTTACCTAAAGGAAAGAGATCAGTGGGTTTGATAGGTTTATAACAAGATTAGTGTTACACCAAAACACATTTGAATACTAAGAGACCTTCGCTCCTATTGCCAAAATGAATTCAATCCATGTTATTCTTTGAGTTGCTAGTAATCTTTATTGTCCTTTTCATGAATTTGATGTCAAAAATGCTCCTCCATAGAGCCTAAGAAGAAGAAGTATACATGGATCCTCCATCTAGAATTGAAGTTGTTTTCTGGAAACCGTAAGGTATGCAAACAGAACAAAAAAAAATCTATTTATTGGCTAAAACAATCTTCAAGAACATGGTTTGAAAGATTTGTGAAATGCCTACGATCATATGGGTACTCTCAAAGATAAGGAGATCACACATTATTCATTAAACACTCGATCTTCAAGAAAATAATAGTACTATTGTTTATGTAGATGGCATACAGGTGATGGAGATCAAAAACATGAAATGTCGACTAAGAAGGGAAATTGAAATCAAAGGTCTGGGTAACTTGAGGTATTTTTCTTGGAATCGAAGTAGCTAGGTCTAAAGCTAGAATTTTGTCGTCTTAAAATAAATGTATTATGAATTTATTGAAGGAAAGAGGTTTGATGGATACAAACTAACTGAAACACAAATTGATCCAAATCACAATTGGGCTCACTACTGATGGGAAGCCTATGGATATGGGGAGATTCCAGAGACTTGTTGGAAAACACATTTATTCGTCTCATGCTTGGCTTACGCTATAAGCATGCTTAGCCAATTCATGCATGCTCCATTAGACTGCCACATGGATTGCTCAGAGAATTTAGGTATATAAAAGCTATGCCAGGAAAAGGGTTGTGTTTCTCAAAAAAAATATATATATATATATATTCACAGGTTGAACCATACACAGCCACTGACTGGGGTAGCTCTATTTCTGTAGACAATCGACATTAGGTTAAAGAGCATTTGTTGGAGGAAACCTATTACATGGATAAGTAAATCAAGTGCTAAAGCCAAATTTAGACGCATAGCACATGAAATTTACGGCGTCCGGAGCCATAGCGGTGATTGTTTTCATTATTCGATTTTTACTAAAATATTTTGTAAGGTTTTTCCTAACAGATAGTATTAGATAAAAACTACTAAAACATACTACAGTTATACGTGCACAAGCATATAAAAACGCACACATTTTTCTTACATGAAAAGCTATCACAGCTATGTTCTACAGGTGGGGCTTAGGTGGGCCAAGGCATAAGGAAGGGGCCCTGCGTATGGAGAAGGTATGGAAAATGGCGGGCAACCCTATTTTGACCACCTAATGCAAGCCTAGGCACCAAAAGGGTGCGAATAATGAAGTCCTATGCACCAAAAGTTGCACTCCTTTTTATTTTTTCTTGTTTTTTTTAAGGCTAAATAAATTAATTAAATAAAAAGAATATTTATTAATGGCCTTTAAATAATTATTAGTCGTCCTAGAATAATTAAATTAATATTAAAACTAGAGAAACACATTTTTACATCTAGGCGACTCGAAGGCTTTGAGGCTTGACATTGCCGCCTAGCAACGCCTTACGCCTTAAGACTCTTAATCATAGTCCACCAAAGTGCGAGTATAATATACATACAATTCAATAAATAAGTTGTACATAAAAAATACAAAGAAAAATTTATAAGAGAAAATGAGTAGTTAAAATAACAAAACTCTAAAAGGAGTTGCTCCGATAGAGAAATAGGTAGATAGGGTGAGAGGCTAAAGAAATATATGCCAATTTAATTTTCCCCCATGATTCAAATAGGTCTAGTTACGTGTACTTGTTAATACGCACATGGTCCAACTGATAGCACATTTTCCCTAGAAGTTCTTGTGGAACCAAATTTATCATTAATGTATAGCAAGCATCTCTTACAACAAGAAAAGGAATATGTGCTAATTAAAATTAAATGTGAATTTACCTCACTGTGAACACCTGGAGCTTCAGGAAGCGTAAGATCTGGGAGTTGAAGCTCGCCGCTTTGCGTCTTGTGCCGTTCATATTCCAGAAGAGACTAGCACATGGCAGGAGAATTTTTTATTTTTATTTTTTATCTTACTTTTGGGGAGGGGGTTGAAATCAGGTAATAGAATGAAACAGAGCATAGGAACTAATTATAACAGATAAAATAAACATGAACACAGTCATTACAAAAAAGCAATCAAAATAACCACGAGTGCTTTTTCATACATCTTTAGGATATCCATATCTCATTTCTTCAATTTTTACAAGGATGGGTGAGGTCCTAAAAATTGACCAATTGATTATTTAAATATACCAAGAAAGTTTTGCTCAGAGTGTATAGCATAAACACGGCTAAAGGGAAAAAATCACATGAACGTTGCAATGACAAGAAAATGGAAAGAGAAGTTGTGAGAGTTGCCTTCTCATAAAATATACGGAATGTCCAAGAAACAGTTGTACAAGTCCTGCAAGAAAAAAGAGAATGAATCAGTATTCAAAAACTACTTTCATTGTGTAAGTCAAGTACATCACATTTAAAAAATTGAAAGCCACATCTGTTTTTCTTTGAGTTTCATTATTACAAAATTATTTAGCACCAATAATTTAATTGATAAAAGCTATTCCAACAGTTATAGGTTCAAGTACATTCTCATATCCCTTCTTAAAAATTAAAATCAGTCAGAAAGAGCACTATATTTAGAGATATGAATTTTTACATACAAACATGTATTAGCAAGCCAAAAAGAAAAAAAAAGAAACAGAGATATTAGAGAAAAAAGAAACAGAGATATTAGAGCCTTTACTTTGGGGGATGGAATGACTCTCCCACTTGCCGCCACAATTTTAATCCAGTCACCTACATTGGAGATCAATCAAGATCATAAACACTGAAGCAAACATCAGATATAATTGTCATCTGCACATTGCTACACCTAAAATGCTTAATCGATGCAAGTATTCAAAATGAAAATAATCAGGGTTCTAGAGCAATATTATGACAAAAAGAACAACTTGTTCGTACAAGGTTGTAGAGTATAGCTAGTTACTTAATTACACTTCAAGATTTCTGCAAGTTGGAAGGATATATTCATAGATATAGTGAACATGATTACAGTTCGTGTTTACCGTATCACAAACAATGAATTAATTGTTGAAACATTAAAATGTTTGTAATTGTAGAGAAGGTTACTCACTTTGTACTACATGTGTTGCATTTGATCAAGGGAGAGAACAAGACAATCCACGACTAGGGGTGGAGGTGGAAACAATGTCACGTGGAACGGAGAAAAGATGTACAAGGAAAAAAGACTTTTAAAACAACTTGGAAGCAAAAAACTCTGGGAGTGTGAACTGTGTTTCTAAAATTGGTACCAGAATTTCAAATGATAAGCATGTTATGAAGATTTCCAAATTTTAGTCAAGCTGGATAGTGCAGGTTCTTTACGGCGCATGAAATGGTTATAAAACTTGCTCGTGTAAGTCGGTACATTGGTCAGACTATCTTTACCAAAAGTGACTATGAGAATGTTTTGGCTCCACCCACGGGTACAACCAAAGGACAGTGATTGTAAGGAGACATAATCGTAACAACATGTCTGCATAGTTAATTTTTTATGCATACCGTAATGATAAAGTTGGCAGAACACAAGAACTTACATTGAACCCATAGTACCAAAAGACAGGTTTATATCAAGAATGGATCCTTACCTTAATTGGGCACAAACTCAAATAATCCTTTGTATGACAATGAGGTAAAATACGTACTATGATTCCTTCAAGAGAGTAGATAGCCATGTGACTATAATGTTAATTGCTCAGAGTTACAATTCGTGTATTTATGGCAAGAAGAAAATACAAAATGCATAGAAGGGTTCCAGCATAATAGAATCAACGATGTAACAACCTCATAGAGCTGTGTATAAAATTTCAAGTGCTTTAGCAGGTGTTTTAAGATTTCATGCTGTTTGATTCATGCACCAAGGTCAATCAGAAACTATTGGTTACAATAATAAAGCTTATTTTCTCGTCAGTGAATATTGAATGCTTATATGAAGTCTTCCGATGGAACCAAAATAATTTCTTCACAGCATATTTTCATATATAACATGGACTGTCCAAGCAATCACAAGGCAAACATAGGAGGGCGAAAAAATGCAACTTCCATGAGTTTGTGCAAGAAAAAGTTCAACTTGTTCACTACTATAAAACTTGATCAAATCACACAAGAAAGTCCTTTAATCATATTGCAATGTTATTTCTAATTCTGTACAGGAAAAGATAATGCAGGGATTTAATGAGGAAAAAGATAGTAGGACTAAATCTAGATTGGCATAATTTTCATTTGCTGGATTTGAAAGTACTTCTTTTCACCGGTTATTATTGCTCAGTAACTTATCCCTGTAATACAAAAAACTGTTCCTTATATCAAGATAACTGTGCCACACTATATGCACCATCATCTAAAAGTTTTTACTTATAATGAGGACTCGGAAGTTGCAGCATAATATATGGAAAAGTAAGAAAAATAAAATACGACATGCATACCCGATCATAGCCACCCAATCTAATCACAGCTCTCCATAACCTGGCAGTCAGAAAGCAAAGAAATGATTGGTTACACAAGAACAGAGTCACAGACTCGACAAAATCAATTAACTGCAAACTTACTTTAGACAATTTAGTGGCTGCCCATAAAATTTGAGAGGTTTAAAATCCATTGACTTCTCCCTGTAAAACCTTTCAAGTTCCTTCATAAATGCTACTTGATCTTCTGGTGCTCCATCATCACCCTCCTCCATCTAACACTCAGAAAAAAAATGACAATCAAAATCTATGGTGTTTACCACTTCACATTAGTACTCATTTTTTTCAATTTAACTTTGGAATATTCTTTTTCCACTTCTACTCTATTTTCCCTAAGTACCTCTGATTGACTAAAAAAGGTTTTGACTATTTCTTCGCTATGATCTCCAGCAATTGTTGTTGAATATTTGATGAGGGAACTGGATGTAGCAGATCCTAGATTGGTTGGAAGGGAAGTATCATCAACAGTTTCACTCATCTTGGCACTTCCATCAGTTACAGTACTAGCATAAACAATTTCATTGCCTGGTTCTTTCAGCTTATCGTGAACCACATCTGTCATCTTTTCATCCTCAACCTGCGCAGAATCACCCGCATTCAGAGGAATTACAGTTTCACTTAACTTGGCATTTCCATGAGTAAATGTACTAGCAGAAACAATTTCATTGTCTGGTTCTTTCACCCTATCTTTAACTGTATCAGCCTCATTCTCATCAACCACATCTGCCATCTTTTCATTATCACCCTGCACAGGATCACCCTCAATTAGAGGAATTGCAGTTTCACTCAACTTGGCATTTCCATCCATTACAGTACTATTAGAAACAAATTCATTGCCTGGTTCTTTCAACTCATCTTTAACTATTTCCTCCTCATTCTTATGAACCACATCGGCCATCTTTTCATCCTCACCGTGTGCAGGATCACCCTCCCTTAGAGGAGTCTCTATTGCAGATAATTCAGTTGGAAGTTGCTCATTTTCATGAGAGATTTTCTCCACAGTAGTATTTTCCCGTAGTTTTTCTTCTTCTGAAACGTTGGTAACTGGGTCTCCATCCTCTCTACCAATTTTATGGTCCTTTTTCTCCTCTGCAACAATTTCAGCAGGGTTTTCTTCTCCCGTCACATTTTCAATAGCATCTCCACCCGCCATGCCATTTCCAGCGAAGTTCTCTTCTTTAACTCCTCCACTGTTGGTTTGAGCAGCAGTTTGTTCATTGACCTCGTCAACCCTGTCATCTGCAACACTTTTAGCATTGCCTACTTCATTCACACTGGCATTTGCTTTGTGTGTACCAGAAGCTGCAGAAGGCAATTCTTCTGCTTGAGATTCAACTTCTGCTTCAAGCAGTTTCTTCTCTGAATCTTGGGGCAGCGTTTTAGCATCCTTCATCTCTACATCAGTTTTATCCATTTTGAAATCTAGCCAAAAACAACCATCATTCCATTAAAACATCACAGATAGCCTATTTTTCAACATCAGGAGAAATGGAGAGATATAGCATCATAAATACAAAACCTTAATGTAAAAATAAAGACGTGAATTTAAATTTAATTTGATCCTCCCCTAACAATCAGAGTCTTTTAACTTATTCCTAAATTAGATAAGAGTTGTTAAACTTTCACGGAAAGAAACCCTAATTCCATACAAAAACCAGACTTTTAGAAAAACACAAAACATTCCAATTAATGATCAAAATTCCATAAGAAGAGAATTCAGAAATCGTGATAAGGGAAAAACTTGATGATGTTTTACTTTTTTCAAGTTCATGTATATGATTGAAATTCAAAAACATGCGAAAAAACACAGATCCATGAATTGCCAGCTATTAAACTTGCCTGAAAGGAAACGGTGACTGCCTAAGTTTCAGCGGAGCTTGCGGGTTTCAATGGTGCAATATAATCTAGGTTTTGGTTATTTTTCAGACAGGAAATGCGGAAGCGGTGAGAGAGTGTGAGTATATATATGAGTGTACAATAGAGTTAAAATGGCAAAAAAGAAGGGTAAAATTGAGGGCGTTTATTAAAAGGTAAGTGATCAATACATTTTGATTATTGTTATACATCAAAATCTTGGCAATGAGAGTTTTTGTGTAAATGCCAGTGAGAGATAGAGATGCCACAGGCCCACAGCAATGCCACTGCTTATGCGGTTTCAGAGTTCAAAAGAACAGTTTAGGCTCACTCGGATATGAAGTCTGGAGTCAGCCATTAAAAAGATACTTCGATTTAGATTGAGTAAATATTATTAGGCCTTTTGTGATTGTCATTATTACATTTGCCCTCAAATTAACTAAAGGAAAAAGATCAGAGAAATTAGATATAGATAAGAAAATTTGTTAGTGCAATCATTATTTTTCTCTATAAATATCTCAAATGTTGGAATGTTTTGCTCTATGAAATGAATTTTAATTTTTTATCATTTATTTCAAGATTACTGAAAATCTCCATGGCCAAGACGGTTGAAAGAGTGTTTATGGATTTCTGCCAAGAATCACGCTACATTCAATAATGAAACAATCATAAAGATCTATTCTCTTTTCCTTTTAATATCATGTGCAAAAAGACTCTTACTCATATTTTCATCATTAAATGTACACACCATAATTTTCCTTACTTTTTAACCACACATTCAAAAAAAAATCATTTTTCACATCAATCAATCTCTTCCAAACAAACCCTAAATGAATGTACGAATATATTATCTTGTGCTAGCGTTATTGATGAATCAATGTGGCCATGCTAATTGACATTAGTGTATTTCACTTTTTTGACATGCGTAGTTATACACTGGTATAAACAAACATGCATTTTATAACCAATATCGGTTCAAAGTATTGATTCCATTTCAGAGCTGAAACAATTGAGTGTTTAAGAAAATTTCGATGGACTTATGTTGTATTGTTCAAGAAAACCTATTACTTCACAAGAAACTTCACAAATCAAGGTGGACTACAAAATTTAAATATTACTAAGGAAGAAAAAAAAATTAAAATATTATTCTTGGTGTTGTCAAATATAGTTCAACACTACATGTTAAGCCCTAGTTTGGGCTCCATTAAAATTTAATTTTAGGGAAAATATATTTGTAACAGTGATTTTTTGGAGAATGTGGTTAAAAAATAAGATAAGGTTTTGGGGTTACGTGTAATATTATTTTATTGAAGAATGTGTGATTTCAATTAGGAGAGAGAAAAATACATTTTACTTATAATGGAGTCCAAACACGGGCTAAACATGTTCTAAAAATATGTAGCAAAGGCAAGCTATGTCAACTTAGGCCTAATGGCCTCTCCACTCCATAAAAGAAAAGAGATCAGTGAAATTCTCCGTAAACAAGCTAAATTCAGAACACCAACAATTCTAGTACATCCAAGCACACATACAGTATAAACCTATTTTCCAAACTCTAAAAACAGCATTTCAAATTTAATTTGACCCTCCCCTCTTAACTATCTAAATATCTCACATCGTCCATAAAAAGGTTGTATTGTGGGTTTATAAACACTTTGAGGAGTGACAACCTTACCCTTACAAGCTGGGTTTACAGGTGAGTTCTACCAAAGTGATTGTTATTATTAGTATCGGGGCATGCACCCAATATTACGGACCGTCATTGCAGACAATTTGACCAGGGCAAGGTTACTTTGAGAAGAAGACCGGATTAGTGAGGTCACTCGGCTAGGGAAAATGGGCCGCTGTGGGCATCAATTCTGAAGAGGGGTGGAATGAACCAATTGTATCCCACATAAGCTTACAAGCACCTTGGACATCCTTTCCTTTGCAAGCAGGATGTCAGGTGAGTTCTACCCAAAGTGGTTATTATATACACTAAAAATCACAGTCTTTTAATTTATTCCTCAATTGAGTTTATACAATTTCATGGAAAGAACCAGACTTTACCAAATCCAAATCATGACCAAAAAACCCATAAGAAAATCCATAAATCACCAAAAGAAAAAACAGAAAATAATTGGTGTCTTTTCAATTTTTTCAGAGTTTGTGTACAGTACAGAAATTTTTAAAAAAATGCGAAAAATAAAGAGAGACGCGCTCAATGCCAGATAATAAACTTACCTGAAAAGAAACGTGGTAGCAGCCAGAGCTTCGGGAGGAGCTTCCTTGCAGTGGTGCAATATGATCAGAGGATTTGGTTATTTTTCAGTAAGAGGGAAATGAGAGTGCGTTCGTGTATACGTGGGTATAATCCAGATGTAATGGTAAAAATCAGGGGGTATAAATAGGAATATCGACGAGCGTTTATACAAAAAGTAAGTAATCGATAAATTTGGATTATTTTTATACGTTAAAAGCTTGAGAATGAGAGATTTTGCTGAGTAAACGCCGGAGAGAGAGATGCCATGGAAGTGCCTCTGCGGTTTCAGAGTTCAAACGAACGGATTATGCTAATGGTGTACCCGGAGGGGAGCGATCCATCCAGTTAAAACCGAACCCAAACTGATCCGGCTAGATTTGAGCCGGTTTATGGATTGATCTGTCATAATTTATAGGCTCGATTCTCGGGCCTAGGATCCATATAACCAGTCCGATCAACCCAAATTTAATTGGAAAAAAAATTAGAGGAAATTACACAAAACCATACTTTAAGTTTTTAAACTTCCAAAATCATACTTAAGTTTTTAAACTTCCAAAATCAGATTGGAAGTTTTGGAAGTTTAATATTTTCAANACCACACATTCATCAATAAAATAATATTTTCCATCACATCAATAACTTTTCCTTCATTTTCAACCACAAAAAAAGTGTGATTTGACACAAAGAATGCATTTTTTTCTAGAATAATGGTTACCAAACGGTGCCTAAGCCATATTTGACAACCATTTTTTAAAAAAAACAATGGTTAGAATAGTAATTTTTAGGAGAACGTGTGATTAAAAAAATCTGAAAATATTTTGAATTTACTTGCAAAATATTTTATGAGAAAATTACCTAAAACCCTTCTTTTCAAGATTACAATTCAAAAATAAAGAATGTAAAGTTTACAATTCAAAAATCAGGTGATAATATAGATTTAATAAAATTTGTTAATAAATATTTATTATAACCCACCATCCACCTCCACCCCAACCCAAATTTTCAATCTCGACACCCCCAATTCATTTCTCTCTCTCCCCTCCCTTCTCCATCTGCCCCCTATTATCATCGCCGACAACCTAAACCCCCTCACCCCCACCATCGGTGAAGATGCTGGAGAAAAGGGAGCGGAGATGTATCACCCTCTCCAATCGCTTCTGAATTTTCTCTATATCACCCTCTCCACCTAACCCACACCCCATCTCTATATTCTAGCGCCGAGCTGTCCTTGAAGCCGATGATGGCGACGGTCGGACGAAACATGGTGGCGGTCCACTTGGGCTGGGTTCACCTTCACCTGGCGCACCTAGCCCAGGCATGGGTCATCCCCAATTAGCACCCCAACAACCTAAATTTCTCCCAGACACCTGCCCAGTCGCGATTTTAAGGTGAAGGTAATACCAAGATACACTTTACACACTAGAGGAGTTGTCACACGAGCTGAAGATATAGATGGATGGAGCTTGCTAGAGCGCTTTTTTAGTCGGCCGACCAGCCTAGCCACCTCACCATTTCCATCTTTTCGGTCCATTTAACTAATGCCCAGTTCCATAAATCCACCATGTGCAGATTTGATATCCACTCTTCATTTGGTTGAGTAACTTGACAGTACTGAGCTCACAAACTCCTCTTCTGTCGCCACCGGCATCGCCAGTGATAATATTCTGCTTTTGGTGTTTTAGATAGGTTTGTTCTATAGAAAATTGCATAGTGTGTAGATCTAAGGCTTTTAGTTTGAGCTGATCAATTATGCGATTTGTGCTCAGTATTTGTTGAGTTATGGAACTCTGAAGGTACAATTCTCATATCTTCCATGTCTAGTTGTGTGTTTGAGTTTGGGTTTGATCTATAAGTGGAATGGTGAGGGTGTTAGTAGTGGAGGAGGGGCTAGCAGCTTGCCCAATTGTTTGAGTTTCAGTAGTAGTTAGAGTTGTAATGTGTTGATGGTAAGGTTAGTTGCCTTCTCATTCGTCTGATTGTGGCCGTTTTTGTGTTGATTGTGATCGATTGTGACTTGAGACAGACCTGGTCACAGACAGTCACACTCAACAAAAATTTGGTCACAGTTAGTCATATTGAGTACACACTTGGTCACAATTAGTCACATACAGTCACACTGAACAAATTTTTTTTCCGGTAATTTTTTTAGGAGGTAGAGGTAGGGGTGGGGTGGTGGTAGGTGGATCCATGTGGTTGGGGGTGTGATTTCCAATTTTTAATTTTCTGAAAATTTTGAAATCGTCGGAGAGGTCGCCGGAACAGTTGCCGAAGCGATCATCGAAATGATCGCCGGAGAAGTCGTCGGAGCAGGTGCCGGAAATGGAGGGGTGGCTGAGGTGTCATAGGGTGTAAATAATTAATGTATATTATATTATACTTTAATATTTAATAAATTTATTTGCCACCTGATTTTTGAAATATTTTAATAAGTTTGTTATTTAAGAAATGTAAACTTCAAAATTAGGAATTATGTATTATTCCCATATTTTATTATGTGAATATATGATTAAAATTTCATTGTGTGATTAAAATGAGTACGTAGAAAAAAGAGTTTGAAATTAATGAATGTCAAACAAAGGCTTCCATACTTGATTCAATTAAAAAAATTGAAAAAATTTATGCTCGTATTTGGCCTCCATTAAATTAAAATTAATTTCTCTCTCTCTTTTCTTATCAACAACACATCCTTGAATAAAATAATATTACACGTAAGTCTAAAAACTTTTTTTTTTTTGAACCATACATTTTTTTCAAAAAATTACTATTTTCTCATTAAAGTGTGAAATAATAGAGCCCAAACATGTGCTAAGTTTCAACAACTAATTTTGTTTTGGTGTGATCCAAATTCCATGTTATTTGAGTTTAGTCGAATAAAAGAAGTCCAAGGAGTTGAGTTTTTTAAGAGTCCAAATTAATGAAGATCAAATTTCATCAAGAATTGGGAGTTTGGCTTGGGAAATGACATTCTTCTTCATCTAGAACTCCAACAAAGAGATCTTTCTATATAAATTCCACATTATATTTACACACATAATTATTCAACAACATCTTGAGAGTTATGGAGTTTAGATTTCAATTGAAGGTATTGAGATTTTGATATTGTAAATACAATTTTGATATTGTAAATACAATTACTATTGATTATAGTGAATTTTTCTCATCTACTCGTGGTTTTTTCCATATTGGGTTTCTACGTAAATCTTGGTGTTGATTTTCTTCTTGTTTATTTCATTATTGTCATTATCTTACGATCTAAAATTCATAACAAGTACTATCAGAGCGAGGTTGATTGTTCCGCATGGCGACAATGAAATATGAAATTCCGTTGTAAGATAGAAACACGAGATTTACCTTATGGCAAGTGATGATGCGAGCGGTTCTAGCACAGATGGATTTAGAGGAAGCCTTGCTTGGCTTTGATAGAATACTTACTACTTGGACGTAGGATGAAAAGTAGTGTAAGGATCGAAAGCGCAATTACGAATTCATCTACATCTTTCAAATTAAATTCTTCAAGATATTCTAAAGGAGTGAAGTGTCGCTATATTGTGGTTGAAGTTGGAGCAACTTTGCATGACAAAGAGTTTGACCAACAAGCTACACTTGAAACAGCTAGTCTATTCTCACCAGATATCTGAAGGTGCATAATTGGATGATCACTTAACTATGTTCAAAGAAATCGTAACCGATTTGGAAACATTGGAAGTTAAGTATGACAAGGAGGACTTGGCATTTATGTTGTTGTGTTCTCTACTGCTATCATATGTAACTTTTAGAGATCATATTCCCTATAGTCGGGATATTCTCACCGTGGAAGAGGTCTATGATACTTTATTATCTAAAGAGAAGATGAGGCATCTTGTTGAAGGATTTGGGAATCATGCTGGAGGCTTGATTGTACGTGGGAGAAATCAGGATAGAAATCTTAGTAGAAATATAAGGGTTAGATCGAAATCTAGACATGCTCAGAAGACATATCACTATTGTAAGAAGAATGAGCATATTAGAGCAGATTTTTATGTCTTGAAAAGCATAAATAAAGCTGTTGTGTTACTAAGAAATGGAAGCAACCTGCTAACACAGCGAATGATGATATTGTGAAGATGGGCAAAGTGAAGGAGAGCTTCTTGTGATTTCTGACATGGATTCCAAACCCTGTGAGGAAAGGGTTTCAGACTCGGCTTGTACTTTTCATATATGTCCCAACAGGGACTTGTTTTCAACATATGAAGGAGTTTCGAGAGGTGTAGTGATTATGAAAAATAACGTGCCTTGCAAAGTTGTTGAAGTTGGTACATTTAGAATCAGAATGTTCAATGGGGCGATCAAAACACTTACAGATGTAAGGCATGTTCCAAAATTGAAGCGGAATCTCATATCTTTGAGTGCACTTGACTCAAAGGGTTATGGATACACTGGTGAATATGGAGTTTTGAAGGTGAACATAGGTACCCTTGTTGTCATGAAAGGCATAAAAGCTCTACACAAATTGTATATTTTGCATGATTCCACAATAATTGGAGGTGTAGTAGTTTCTACTTCTTCTTCAACGAATGATAAAGTTATAAAACTTTGGTATATGCGACTCAAGCATTAAGTGAGAATGGCATGACTGAGCTAAGTAGAAGGGAACTTCTTCTTCATCCAGAACTCTACTAAAGAAATATATATATATATATATATATATATANGTGAGAATGGCATGGCAGAGCTGAGTAGAAGTGAACTTCTTCTTCATCTAGAACTCCAATAAAGAGATTTATATATATATTCCTATTGCATCTACACACATAGTTATTCAACAACATCTTGAGAGTTAGAGAGCTAAAATTTCAATTGAGAGTATTGAGATCTTGATATTATATTACTATTGATTATATTGAATTTTTCTCATATGCCCGAGATTTTTCCTATATTGGGCTTCCACATAAATTTTGGTGTTTTTTCTTCTTGTTTATTTCATTATCGTCATTGTCTTGCGATCTAAAACTCATAACAGATTTTTATCGCAAATTTCATGAAACTCAACCATACATTTTATCAAAATCCACTAAAAATATAATTTTCAACAAATCCAAACAAGAGCAAAATGTAAAACGTCAAGAGCTTTAGAGGCTGTTTGGCATGACTTTTATTTTTACTTTTCATGTAGAAGAGTTTTTGGAGTAAGTTACCTTAATTTTTATTGAAAAACTAATTTTTAATAGCATTTCCAATTTTTAAAGGAAACTTCATTTAACCAATTTCTTGTAAAATCTCTTTTAACTATCAAAAACACTTTTATAAAATTAGTCAACCAAATCTGAAAGCAATTTTTGAATCTTAAAAGTTCATTTTGACTTTTTATAATTCATGTCAAATAGATCCTTAGTCTAGAGTTAGGTTTTCATTCACTTCACAATGAGTTTTCTGAAAAAAAGAAAAAAAATTAAAATAATTACGTGCTGACCAAGTTCACATATATAGAATGTTGGGGTGTTATGACTACCCTTAACTTTAAAATTAATACAGCTTTTATTGGAAGCACATATTGCGCATGCAGAATTAAAAATGAAGAACAAACAGATATGGAATAGGAAGAATGACTTCCATAGCCTTTACACAAGACTTTACATGATCCATGTACAGTAGGAGATCAACAGAAAGTATTTGCTACAGATTTTTCAAGAGTTCACTCTATCTCACTTTCTATCTACTTTGTCTACAGAATTCTAATCCTTTCTCTCTCGAGCTCACTCTTCTTCACTGCCTGATGCTGCTATTTATAGATACAAAAGGGGCATCAAATCAGTTATTAACTACCTAACTACTCAAATGAATAGGCTCCTACCGTTAAAGATTCTAACTGTAAATGACAGTTGAAGAAACCAGTAATAAAAGGCTCATCTTGCAACAGAATTTATCCAATGGCTCAGGTATTCAAAATTTGAATCCAAGGAATCAACTTCTTACAATCTCCACCTTGATTCTTTAAGGGAAATTTACAGATCGGGCCGTGTGGCTGATGATCAGGTAGCCTACAATTGGTTACCGGTATATCCTCAGTGATCCTTTCAACAGAATTGACCTCAGATTCGATTGCAATTCCAACCTCAAGTTCACTTCCTTGCAAGATATAGATGACTTGTTGTAAGACTCCCTTTATGATTACCACAGAATTTTCCATCACATATAACACTTAACATCGAGCCTTGTACACACACCCACATTTGTCAAGTACTCCAAGTGAGATTAGATTTTTTTCCAGACATGGTACATGCCTCACTCCACCTAGGTCTTTTGATGACCCATCCCACATTTTCATCTTGATAGAACCAACACCAATCACTTCACAAGTATTGTCATTTCCCATCAGCACTTTGCTTTCATAATCCAATTTGTCATTAATGAAAAATTCTCCTCTTAGTGTCATATGAAATGGACAACATGAGTCCATTATCCAGACATTGTTGAGGCATGCACTTGTTATAGCAAGTACTTCAGCAACTTCTCAGTCTCCAAACGCATTAGCATAGTCTCCATTTTGCGTGT